CCTCTTTCCCTTCTAAGCCCTCCATAATAACAGTGCGAACATGGCAGTGGGATGGTAAAAGAGGGAACGTGGCAGTGGGTTGAGGGTAGTGGAATGGAGACAAGGAAGTGGGATGACGATTGTGGGAACATGGCGGTGGGATGATGATAGTGGGAGCTTGGTGGTGGGATGATAATAGTGGGAACATGGCCATGGTATGATGGGATTGGGAACAGGGCAGCCTGACCAATTATTGTCATCATGGTCTACAATTCTATCGATGTTCATTTATGTCATAGGTCCATGTTCTGACCACTGAAATTCAGCACTGACCATGGTTTTCCGTTTCAAGTCACCATGATTGTTCAATTATGGAAGAATTTGTGTATATACTGCTCAGACAGCAAGGGTCCCCTCTGAACATGAAACATGGCCAGCAAACCTCATGAATCTCTGTTTCGCACTCATTCCGCCATTCTGTGCTCTCCATTCAACGTAATCCATACTAGAGGATGAAAAGATGATGCATTTATAGAAATTACTACAACAGGCAGTACTACCAAGTCTAAACTGACATCCATGCCATTCCTTTCTATCCATCCACCATTCATTCCCATCATTCCCACAACATCCTGCTAGGCAGGATGGAAAAAAGGGGGTGAACCCCTACCACCACCATTCCACATCACACCCACCAGCTTTACCTTAGATGCCATCATGTCACTTATTCAAGGCTACACTTGACCAAGCTCTACTCACCCACCTCCTCATCCTCATCCCTTTAGGCTTCACGTTTGATGCCTTATTTGCTGTTGTCCCTTCCACATTTACCTTGGCCGCATCATGCTTTTCGGATTTTGGCATATGCGTTGACCTTGCAGCAACTGCGGCAGTAGCAGCGTCAACAGGGACAACAGCAGCAAAAGCATTTCTCAGTTTGGACAGCCTAACCTTTTTTTCTGAGGTCTGGCATTTGCTTGAGCTTTTTTCCACTGAATCTTTTGTGCTGGATTTTACAGGAGTACGCATACATGCGCAGCTCGTGCTGTTTGCACTGCTGGAGCTGAAGGTGCAGACCATCACGCTCCTGTTGCTCTTGTTAAGATCACTTTTACTGGCAGCAGTATTTTCAACCATGATCCAAGGCGATTTCTTGCCTGTGGAGGCGAGAAACTCGTCCTTTGACAGGAAGGACACGTATCGTTCATTGATGCAGATGTTTTCCGCATTTAAGTACCGTTGGCGGAATTCCAGCAAGTCCAACTCGCTCATATACGAAAATTCGTCCTCCAAATCCTTAGAGATTCGTGCCTTTTTCGCACTTGGAGCAGCAGCAGCAGCAGCAGCAGCAGCAGCAGCAGCAGGCGCGGATCGCTTGCGTGCTGCATCACTCCAGCTGGGAGAGGCGGAAGCGGAGGCAGCAGGAAGGTAGTGGCTTTTCAGTCCTGCTGGAACGGTACCGTGATCCTCTTCCCAGTAGAAGAGGTCTTCAGGGGCCAGCCTTGCTGCAGGCAGCGAGGGTTTTCACGGCCATCGGCAGGCAGGTGGTGAAAAGAGAACCTTGAGGCTTGAGGAAGGGGGTAGCAAAGGACTGTGAGTAAACAAAGATGTGATTCAACTGAAATGAAATGGGTGTCAGACAGGGTTTTCTACTCGTGGCTACGAGTGAAGTGCGTCCTGACAGGATGCTGCTGAGCGAATCGTTTCCAAACGAGCCGCTCTAGTCGACGGTGGAAAAGGGGGTTCCGTTGGCAATGGGAGTTCCAGGTACGGTGACGAAGCTAGCGTTTAGCTTTGGTGCCCGGTCGTTTGCCTCGGAAAAAGTCGACCTGACAGATCCAATGGCATACAAAGCAACCACTGAACGCCAAGCCGAGGGTCCAGCCCAAGTCCTCGAACCAGCATGGTTCTGGGCAGCGAAATCTCAGCGTTTTTGCTACCCAAAATCAAGTAAAGTCGTCCTTCCGTCAAGCTCGCCACTGCTGAACCGGCAATTCGTGTGCGGAAACACGACGTTCTTCCCAGCTGACTGAATGTGGGACTCCTATGGGTGTACTCTCCGAACGAAGCTATGCTCGAGGCTGCCATAGCTTGAGTTTCGTTCTGTCAACGTCAACGAACGGGAAGAACAAACTACCTACGAGCAATAACGGACGCGAATGAGGCGGAGGCCCGAACAGGCCGCACTGCAACGTGGCGCGTACCAATTGACGGATCGCAGTGTTCGCCCAGCAATCGGACGGTCTAGAGCAAATCCAGGGATCTCGGAGTGCTCAGGAAACTACTCTTGAGGAACAAGGGTTCCTCTCCCAAGATGCTCGTCCGGGCAGGTCCCAAGGTTGGGATGGAAACGAGAATTATGACTGCTTCTATGTGTGGACTCGTTATAGGATGGAAACAATGGTATATATGTATATAGATATGGTTAAACATATATTACCTCTACCAACAATCCAGCATTTTTATTTCTTATCCAAGTCGAACCTAAAAATGACACGCTTTGAAAAACTAACAATTTTGAATCTCTATGTTTTTACCATGCTCATCGTTGTGTGGTACGCCATGTAAGTACTTTAGCCATACAATAATTATTTACTGTACCACCAGTACATCCCTTGAGCAATTTCATTTTAGTTCCAAAAGCTAGGCATGAAGCAATCTGACCCCCAAAGTGAAGTCAGCTTATGAAACTGCTACATTGCATCAGTATGGCATTTCAACCGGCACACACTAGTCGCGTGTCCCCACCCCATTCTCCGTTGGTCCAAAGTTGCAGCCATAGCGCCTTGAGTACTCAGGCATGGTCAAACTTGGGGCAGGCTCATGGGCACGTGTGGTGACACGAACAGTGCTGGGTGATGCTAGCCATGGCAGGCATGGTAGGCATGGCAGGCATGGCAGGTATGGCAGGCATGGCAGGCATGGTAGGCATGGTAGGCATGGTAGGCATGGTAGGCATGGTAGGCATGGTAGGCATGGCAGGCATGGTAGGCATGGCAGGCATGGCAGGCATGGCAGGCATGGTAGGCATGGTAGGCATGGTAGGCATGGTAGGCATGGTAGGCATGGTAGGCATGGCAAGCATGGTAGGCATGGTAGGCATGGTAGGCATGGTAGGCATGGTAGGCATGGTAGGCATGGGAAGCATCGTAGTGGCGATGAAGAGTTGTCTGGAGAGTGGAATGTGAGTTGAAACATGCCAATGGGAAGTTGGCAGGCTGAATAGTAATGAGAGATTGACTGGGAATCAGACAAGTCTCAGCGAATGATAAGGTGAAGAGAGAAATTCCAAGTGCTGCCTGGAGTGGGAAAATGCGAAGGACAAGAGTTACAGGTGGGGGTGCGGCAATGGAAAATAAGTGGGACGTCTAGCATGTCATGTGTGCATACCAGGCATGGCAGACCGCCATGGCAGACAGTGATGCAGGCAATAGAAGGGCTGGGGAGAGGTGGCTGCTGGGATGATGCACACGGGTGGATGGGCGAGTGTGTGCTGCCCTTGCATGAAAATGCATGGAGTGACAGGCGTGGCAAGCATGGCAATGAAGAGTTGTCTGGAGAATGGAATGGAGGGTGACAGGCAGCTGGGAAGGGAAGATGATGTGACATTACGTGAAAACGAAAGCACTGGAAAAGTTCACTTGAAAAATGGCTTTGGCAAGTTGGTGGAAGGACGAACGACAACGAAATGTGGAATGGAAAACATGAGAGAGAAACAAATGGCGCATCATGAGCTGAGCAGAATTCCAACAAGTGAGAATGGAGGTGAGTGAAAAGTAACAAGGTGACATACTGAATGTGAAAGGAGGAGTTGGAAACGTTGATTGACAAATGGCTTCGGGAAACTGGCAGAGGACAGCTGGAGAAGTGAGTAAACAATTTTGAAACAGAAAATAGTGGTAACTCTAGGGATGAACAAGAAAAATGACAGTTGGAAATAGGCGGGAAGCATGGGGAGAATTTGTAAGAATCTGAAGCTAGAATAAAGCAATAAGAATTTTGAAGCGCGCAAATAAGAATATGATAAACGTGTTGGGAAGATGAATGTGATGTGGAGTGAGAAAAGATACACTTGGGAATAAGAATGGGCAGCAAAAGCAGGTCCACGAGAGTGAGGGAGCGAGCATGGAACATGACAGTGGGATTATGGGCATGACATGGGAGGAGGATGCCCTGGCTGGCATGCATTGGCTGGCATGCATTGGCTGACATGCATTGTTTAACATGCATTTGCTGACATGCATTGGCTGACATGCATTGGCTGACATGCATTGGCTGACATGCATTGGCTGACATGCATTGGCTGACATGCATTGGCTGACATGCCCTCGCTGGAAAATAGCGAGCAAACAATCGGAAATCTGGCAAGACAAATGACAGCAAAGCACTAATCAAACACATTTTAATTGCGCCACGCCAAGTAACCGGCAGATATCTATGAATTTTCTGGCCAAAAAGAAAAGAGAATGAGATGGAAAATGGCGAAGGCAAGTTGACTGAATGAATTTAAGATGAAGAGTGAAGAGGGAAAGCAAAAACTGAGAAACAGGCAGGACCATCCTAAGTTGACTGGACTGGACAAAAGGGTAGGGGAAGTTGCCTGGAAAATGGCAATGGAAAAGGGAACATGGTTATGAAAAGACTAAATGACATTGAAGAGATTGGCTTAACAGTTGCAAGTGGGATGATGGCAGTGGTATGATGATAGTGGGAACATGGCAGTGGGATGATCATGTCAAGATCTCATGAGAACGAGGAAGGTGGTTCTTGAAGTGTGGCATGGGGGAAATGTGTGTGGACAGATGGCAATGGCAAAAAGACAGTGGGAGGATGACAGTAGTATGTAAAGTGACAGTCGGGAATTGGCAGAGGGAAAATGGCATTGGGTGAATGGCATGGGAAAGTGAATGTGAAAATGACAGTAGGAGAAGGAGGGTGGGAAAAGGGAGGTGGAAGAATGGTAGTGGGTCATGCCAGTGGCTTCACTTGATGACACCCGGAATATGACTGGGTTTATGACTTTAAGATGTTGAGAATGGCGACACGAGAGGGAAATCGCAACATTGGAGCAATGACTCTGAGAGCATGACAGTGGCATCATGCCAATGAGAGCAATGCATGACAGTGGCATCATGCCAATGAGAGCTATGCGTGACAGTGGCATCATGCCAATGAGAGCAATGCATGACAGTGGCATCATGCCAATGAGAGCAATGCATGACAGTGGCATCATGCCAATGAGAGCAATGCATGACAGTGGCATCATGCCAATGAGAGCTATGCGTATCAGTGGCATCATGCCAATGAGAGAAATGCATGACAGTGGCATCATGCCAATGAGAGCAATGCATGACAGTGGCATCATGCCAATGAGAGCAATGCATGACAGTGGCATCATGCCAATGAGAGCAATGCATGACAGTGGCATCATGCCAATGAGAGCAATGCATGACAGTGGCATCATGCCAATGAGAGCAATGCATGACAGTGGCATCATGCCAATGAGAGAAATGCATGACAGTGGCATCATGCCAATGAGAGCAATGCATGACAGTGGCATCATGCCAATGAGAGCAATGCATGACAGTGGCATCATGCCAATGAGAGCAATGCATGACAGTGGCATCATGCCAATGAGAGCAATGCATGACAGTGGCATCATGCCAATGAGAGCAATGCATGACAGTGGCATCATGCCAATGAGAGCAATGCATGACAGTGGCATCATGCCAATGAGAGCAATGCATGACAGTGGCATCATGCCAATGAGAGCAATGCATGACAGTGGCATCATGCCAATGAGAGCAATGCATGACAGTGGCATCATGCCAATGAGAGCAATGCATGACAGTGGCATCATGCCAATGAGAGCAATGCATGACAGTGGCATCATGCCAATGAGAGCAATGCATGACAGTGGCATCATGCCAATGAGAGCAATGCATGACAGTGGCATCATGCCAATGAGAGCAATGCATGACAGTGGCATCATGCCAATGAGAGCAATGCATGACAGTGGCATCATGCCAATGAGAGCAATGCATGACAGTGGCATCATGCCAATGAGAGCAATGCATGACAGTGGCATCATGCCAATGAGAGAAATGAGCGACAGTGGCATCATGCCAATGAGAGAAATGCATGACAGTGGCATCATGCCAATGAGAGCAATGCATGACAGTGGCATCATGCCAATGAGAGCAATGCATGACAGTGGCATCATGCCAATGAGAGCAATGCATGACAGTGGCATCATGCCAATGAGAGCAATGCGGGACAGTGGCATCATGCCAATGAGAGCAATGCATGACAGTGGCATCATGCCAATGAGAGCAATGCATGACAGTGGCATCATGCCAATGAGAGCAATGCATGACAGTGGCATCATGCCAATGAGAGCAATGCATGACAGTGGCATCATGCCAATGAGAGCAATGCATGACAGTGGCATCATGCCAATGAGAGCAATGCATGACAGTGGCATCATGCCAATGAGAGCAATGCATGACAGTGGCATCATGCCAATGAGAGCAATGCATGACAGTGGCATCATGCCAATGAGAGCAATGCATGACAGTGGCATCATGCCAATGAGAGAAATGCATGACAGTGGCATCATGCCAATGAGAGCAATGCATGACAGTGGCATCATGCCAATGAGAGCAATGCATGACAGTGGCATCATGCCAATGAGAGCAATGCATGACAGTGGCATCATGCCAATGAGAGCAATGCACGATAGTGGCATCATGCCAATGAGAGCAATGCATGACAGTGGCATCATGCCAATGAGAGCAATGCATGACAGTGGCATCATGCCAATGAGAGCAATGCATGACAGTGGCATCATGCCAATGAGAGAAATGCATGACAGTGGCATCATGCCAATGAGAGCAATGCATGACAGTGGCATCATGCCAATGAGAGAAATGCATGACAGTGGCATCATGCCAATGAGAGAAATGCATGACAGTGGCATCATGCCAATGAGAGCAATGCATGACAGTGGCATCATGCCAATGAGAGCAATGCATGACAGTGGCATCATGCCAATGAGAGCAATGCATGACAGTGGCATCATGCCAATGAGAGCAATGCATGACAGTGGCATCATGCCAATGAGAGCAATGCATGACAGTGGCATCATGCCAATGAGAGCAATGCATGACAGTGGCATCATGCCAATGAGAGCAATGCATGACAGTGGCATCATGCCAATGAGAGCAATGCATGACAGTGGCATCATGCCAATGAGAGCAATGCATGACAGTGGCATCATGCCAATGAGAGAAATGCATGACAGTGGCATCATGCCAATGAGAGAAATGCATGACAGTGGCATCATGCCAATGAGAGCAATGCATGACAGTGGCATCATGCCAATGAGAGCAATGCATGACAGTGGCATCATGCCAATGAGAGCAATGCATGACAGTGGCATCATGCCAATGAGAGCAATGCATGACAGTGGCATCATGCCAATGAGAGAAATGCATGACAGTGGCATCATGCCAATGAGAGCAATGCATGACAGTGGCATCATGCCAATGAGAGCAATGCATGACAGTGGCATCATGCCAATGAGAGCAATGCATGACAGTGGCATCATGCCAATGAGAGCAATGCATGACAGTGGCATCATGCCAATGAGAGAAATGCATGACAGTGGCATCATGCCAATGAGAGCAATGCATGACAGTGGCATCATGCCAATGAGAGCAATGCATGACAGTGGCATCATGCCAATGAGAGCAATGCATGACAGTGGCATCATGCCAATGAGAGAAATGCATGACAGTGGCATCATGCCAATGAGAGCAATGCATGACAGTGGCATCATGCCAATGAGAGCAATGCATGACAGTGGCATCATGCCAATGAGAGCAATGCATGACAGTGGCATCATGCCAATGAGAGCAATGCATGACAGTGGCATCATGCCAATGAGAGCAATGCATGACAGTGGCATCATGCCAATGAGAGCAATGCATGACAGTGGCATCATGCCAATGAGAGCAATGCATGACAGTGGCATCATGCCAATGAGAGCAATGCATGACAGTGGCATCATGCCAATGAGAGCAATGCATGACAGTGGCATCATGCCAATGAGAGCAATGCATGACAGTGGCATCATGCCAATGAGAGCAATGCATGACAGTGGCATCATGCCAATGAGAGCAATGCATGACAGTGGCATCATGCCAATGAGAGCAATGCATGACAGTGGCATCATGCCAATGAGAGCAATGCATGACAGTGGCATCATGCCAATGAGAGCAATGCATGACAGTGGCATCATGCCAATGAGAGAAATGCATGACAGTGGCATCATGCCAATGAGAGAAATGCATGACAGTGGCATCATGCCAATGAGAGAAATGCATGACAGTGGCATCATGCCAATGAGAGAAATGCATGACAGTGGCATCATGCCAATGAGAGCAATGCATGACAGTGGCATCATGCCAATGAGAGCAATGCATGACAGTGGCATCATGCCAATGAGAGCAATGCATGACAGTGGCATCATGCCAATGAGAGCAATGCATGACAGTGGCATCATGCCAATGAGAGAAATGCATGACAGTGGCATCATGCCAATGAGAGCAATGCATGACAGTGGCATCATGCCAATGAGAGCAATGCATGACAGTGGCATCATGCCAATGAGAGCAATGCATGACAGTGGCATCATGCCAATGAGAGCAATGCATGACAGTGGCATCATGCCAATGAGAGAAATGCATGACAGTGGCATCATGCCAATGAGAGCAATGCATGACAGTGGCATCATGCCAATGAGAGCAATGCATGACAGTGGCATCATGCCAATGAGAGCAATGCATGACAGTGGCATCATGCCAATGAGAGAAATGCATGACAGTGGCATCATGCCAATGAGAGCAATGCATGACAGTGGCATCATGCCAATGAGAGCAATGCATGACAGTGGCATCATGCCAATGAGAGCAATGCATGACAGTGGCATCATGCCAATGAGAGCAATGCATGACAGTGGCATCATGCCAATGAGAGCAATGCATGACAGTGGCATCATGCCAATGAGAGCAATGCATGACAGTGGCATCATGCCAATGAGAGCAATGCATGACAGTGGCATCATGCCAATGAGAGCAATGCATGACAGTGGCATCATGCCAATGAGAGCAATGCATGACAGTGGCATCATGCCAATGAGAGCAATGCATGACAGTGGCATCATGCCAATGAGAGCAATGCATGACAGTGGCATCATGCCAATGAGAGCAATGCATGACAGTGGCATCATGCCAATGAGAGCAATGCATGACAGTGGCATCATGCCAATGAGAGCAATGCATGACAGTGGCATCATGCCAATGAGAGCAATGCATGACAGTGGCATCATGCCAATGAGAGCAATGCATGACAGTGGCATCATGCCAATGAGAGAAATGCATGACAGTGGCATCATGCCAATGAGAGAAATGCATGACAGTGGCATCATGCCAATGAGAGAAATGCATGACAGTGGCATCATGCCAATGAGAGAAATGCATGACAGTGGCATCATGCCAATGAGAGCAATGCATGACAGTGGCATCATGCCAATGAGAGCAATGCATGACAGTGGCATCATGCCAATGAGAGCAATGCATGACAGTGGCATCATGCCAATGAGAGCAATGCATGACAGTGGCATCATGCCAATGAGAGAAATGCATGACAGTGGCATCATGCCAATGAGAGAAATGCATGACAGTGACATCATGCCAATGAGAGCAATGCATGACAGTGGCATCATGCCAATGAGAGAAATGCATGACAGTGGCATCATGCCAATGAGAGCAATGCATGACAGTGGCATCATGCCAATGAGAACCATGCATTCCAACTTGAACGTGACGCGTGGAAATCGGAGAGAAAGGAAGGTGCCTTGGGAAAAGAATGGGGAGAATGACGGAGGTTTCGGACCCCGGGGGTGCAGCGGGCCCGTGACGTTCGGTCACGAGTGCCGCCATCACCATCACCCTTCCCCCTGCCCTTCCCCCTGCCCTCCCCCCTACCCTCCCCCTTGCACTTCCCCCTGCCCTTCCACCTGCCTTCCCCCTGCCCTTCCCCCCGCCCTTCCCCCTTCCATTCCCCCTTCCCTTCCCCCTGCCCTTCCCCCTTCCCTTCCCCCTGGGGAGTGCCACGTGTCTATCGAGGGTGCTTGTAACGGGAGGGCCTCCGCGCCGCGCACCCATTGCACAGAGGTTTGCACAAGGCATGCGACGCGATGCGGATGGAAAGGGGTTGCGCATGGGGTGTAACGCATGACATACTTTGCCTAATCTACCGCTAGCTTCCTAAGTCAGCATCGAGAGAGTTTCTAGATTAGAAATGACTCGATGGGATTTGGGAAGGTTGAGTTGGAGGGGAAGGTTGGTTGGGTTGTTCCAAACCTCAACCTTGAGGCTTGGAAACTTCCAAACCATCAAAGTGAAGATTGGGAAGGTTGGATTTCCAACCAATCAAATTGTGTCAGTTGTTGTTACAATCCAATCAAACAACAAAACAACCATACAATACAATTAGGTTGGGTTTCCCCAACCTCACTATAATGCCACCTAGGCACCAAGCCTAGAAGCTCCCCAACCATGGAAGCCATGGTTGGGAAGAGCCCCAAGGGGTATTGTGGAAGGGGTTGGAGCTTTCAAGCTCATTCCCACTTCCCAACTCCAACTTACCAACTTGGAAATGGGATTTCTCTAAGTCATTTTGGCTCTCCTAACAAGCTCTCCTACACAAGTAGACCTGTGAAAGGACAAGCTCTACAAGAAGCTCCTACCTACTTGCTAAAGCTTCATCAATCTTCTTCAAGCTCTCTTTCTCCTCTCAAGCTTCAAGAGTATTATCAAGGCTAGTTTATCCCTTGGTGGGATTAGTTTAATCTTGGAAGCCTTGTATCTTGATTTTATATAAATTGTCAAGGAGGATTTCTATTAAACACACGGTTGCCCGTTGTTATAAGGGCCGTGGTTGTTACATTGGTATCTAGAGCTAGGGTTATCCTAAGCCTAGTGGGGATTTTGCCCCTATAGATTTATATATATATATATATATATCTTGGAGTTGTGGTTTCTCTTTAAAGAGAGCACTCAAGATCTGGAAGCTTGAAGAGTTCAAGATCTACAAGATCTACAACTGCAACTTCAAGCTAAGAAGAGAGATTTATCTCTCTTGCCCACCTTTTGGTGGAAGACTCTCTACTGTTGAGTAGTGGAGGATAAACTTGGATCTGGTAGATTTGTTGAGGGTTATACAAGTTCTCTTTATGGAGATTTGGATAGACCCTGCCCTTTCACTTAGGTGATTGGGAGTGTTGGCAACAAATCTGTTACCTTTGGTAACGTTGGATTGTTTTGTAGAAGAAATTTCTTTTATAAGAATTTCTTGCTTTACCATTGAAGTGGTAAAAGGACTTAAACAGAATCAACCCAGATCTTACAAGCTCCCTTAATCCTTATGGCACCTGGCCAAGAGAAGGATATGGCAAGGGAGGAAGGGCCCACTGCACCTAATGAGGTGGTGAACAATGCTGCTGAGATTGACCTCAATCAAGATGAGGCAATGACTGATCTTGAGTTGGATAATATTGAGGACCTGGACCTGGACCTTGGAGATGAGCATAATCATGGTGAAGCTGAGAACCATGGTGAAGCTGACAACCATGGGGAAGAGTAAAACACCGGTGGAAAGGAGGCCACTGCTGATGAAAATGACTTCACTGAGGGTGAAGGCATGATTTATCCTATCTCCGAGGAGATTGTCCAACTCCAGGCTAAAGTGGCAACTCAGAATATCACAATCCTGCAGCAGCAGACGTCCATTGATGGACTCAAAAAGCACACTTTGGACCTCGAGGCTAGGCTGAGCATTACCATGAAGGAGGTTACTGAGTTCCGTCGCAGCCTGGGCACTAAAAACCGCCAAATTGAGTGGCTTCAGAAGACTTGCAATAATCTGCAAGCATCATTCAACAAGCTCAATAAGCAGTTGACCCATCTTAGGAGGGAGGGTATTTACGAACCTCCTCCTGGGCGTAGGCCCGCTCCTGCTGCTCAGCCGGCTCCTACGCCGGTAGGCGCTGCGACGGCTATGCACCAGCCACCTCCAACCGAGACCTCGCCCTTTGGGTCTCTCTCGGCGCCTCTGCCTGAGTTTAACCATAGCAAGACGGAGGTGAATGACACCATGATCCTTGCGAATGTGCGTCCTGAGGCTCGCGTTACTGCAGCTACTCGTGCATTGGACGAAGTGGCCCGCAGCGCAGTGTATGGCGCTAAGAAGCAGGCTCAGGGACCGTTTGGATGGTCGGAATTCTGCACCGCGCTGAAAGAGGCATTCATGGTCATGAAGTCTGACCTGGAACTGCGCTGACGCCTTGAAAGGATCAAGTGTCGTGACCGTTTGGTGCAGGAATATGCGGTTGAGTTTGAGGCCGCAGCACGCTTGCTCCAGAAGCCCTTGTCTGAGGAGGAGATGATGCACACCTTCATGAAAGGCCTCCCTGTCAACCTGCAGCAGACAGACATGACCGGTGGCATGACCAATTGGACGACTTACAAGGAGATGAAGAAGCAGGTGATCAAAACTGACAACATCATCCACACGTACATTTATGGTCCTACAAAGCCAGACCAGCAGCCCCGTGCTGAGGGCTCTGGTGGTCGTGGGAACCGACCCCAGAATGCCAATGGCGAAGGCGGTTCGAACAAGCGACCTTTCCAGCAGCATGAGCATCAGCATGGACCACAAGCCAAGAAGGCTAACGGGGGGGGAGGTCATGGCCCTAACAAGCCGGACTTCTCCAAGATGCGGTGTAACGGCTGTGGATTTATTGGACACATTTAAAGGCAATGCCGTAACAAGAACCCAATCAAGTAATCTGGGACGCCTAAGCCAGGCGGCGCTGGACCTTCTGGAAAGAAGGATTTTCAGAAGCCCAACTAGGGTGTGGGTACCTAGTTGGAGGAGTAGATCGAGTGGATGAGGCATATGTGCTATGTGATGATGATATATTAAAGCTAGAGAAGCTTGCTGATTGCAAAATCTCTTGTTTGTTTGCCTCTTCTTTTAATAAAAACTCTGTTTTTATCCTCGATCGTACCCACTTGAGAACATTTCCATGGAAGCTATGCAAGATAAGTTTCCAATTATTTTCTGTGGCTTGGACATTCTGCCTTCTGTCATTGAAATTGTGAGTCGTTGCACTCAAGAGCACCCCCTGACTTCGGTCGCGTTGGTGACTCGCACAGTGAAAGGCGAATTGTTCCATGCGCTTCGTGGATGGCCGGTCCTAGCGGCGTGGGACAAGGGACACCATGTGTGGTGGACCAACTCTCAGTCGCATGGACGTGCTCGTCACAACGTCAAGGTGTACTACAAACCTTCGACGAGTATTGTGGCATGTCCTATTCGCCCAAAGCATCAACAAAATTTGTTGCTTGCGGGTAGCGTGAACGGGGAAAATGAAAAAATCCTTGTTGATACGGGTGCAACTGTTTCCCTCTTTGATGAAAAGTGGGTCGCAGAAAGGACGATCCTCGTTGAAGGACCGTCATGCCCCATTCGTCTTGGTGATGATAGCATCATCCCAAGCAAAGGGCGGACACGGATCAACATGGAAATCGAGGGATATCGCGAAGAAATTCGCGCGTATGTCTTACCCCTTCTCACAGGCGTCGACCTTGTTCTTGGATTGGACTGGCTTCGAGCGAATGAAGTCAAACTCGATTTTCAGGACAATACGGTCTCATTCTCGAAAAATGGTGACACTGTCCAATGGCAAGTACCTAAGGACCTGGTCACGAATGATCAACCCACGTTGGAACGCACTGACGTGAGTTTTACGCTCGCAAATGCGTTCGGGCAGCATGTTCGACAAGCTGATACATTCTTTGTGGTACAGCTTGAGAATGCTGAACATGAATAGCCTGGGGTCGAGGATTTTCCGCCTCAGATGAAAGCACTGGCAGACGAGTTTGCGGAGGTTTTTGAGCCCATCCCATATGGCCTTCCTCCGAACCGTGCTGTCGGTCACACCATCCCAATAGAGCCTGGAAAACTCCCACCGTTTAGACCTCTGTATCGCCTCAGTCCAGCTGAGTACGAGGAGGCTAAACAACAAATCGAAGAGTATCTCAGGAAGGGATGGATTGAACCAAGCGCATCACCTTACGGAGCGCCGATCTTGTTCGTAAACAAAAAGGGCGGAGGATTACGCATGTGCGTAGACTACCGTGCTTTGAACAAGATAACGATGAAAAACAGATACCCCTTGCCAAGGATTGAGGATCTGTTTGACAAACTCCAAGGTGCTCAATTGTTTAGCGCGCTAGACCTCGCACAGGGGTATCATCAATTACGCATCACTGAAGAAGATGTACCCAAAACGGCTTTCCGTTCACCGTTTGGTCATTTTCAGTGGCGAGTGCTGAGCTTTGGCTTGACCAATGCTCCTGCCTCTTTTCAGAGGGCCATGAACGATGTCTTTCGCGAGGCGATTGGACAATTCGTCCTGGTCTATCTGGATGATATCTTGGTTTATTCCAAGACAGAAGAGGAGCACACACAACACCTTAAGTGGGTGTTGGGGAAACTACGAGAGCATAAGTTCTATGCTCGTCTATGGAAATGTCATTTCTACAAACGAGAGTTGGAATATCTTGGCCATCTCGTGGGACATGACGGTCTTAAAGTAGACCCGAAGAAAGTTGTCGCAGTCCAGAACTGGCCAGTGCCACAAGATGTGGGACAAATCATGTCATTTTTGGGATTGGCAAACTATTTTCGTCGATTCTTGCAGAATTATTCTACCGTTGTTGCTCCATTGACGGCCCT